TTTTTTTATATTATACAGTAGATGTCTTTACTGTAACTTTTGATCAATTGACCTGTTGCATTGTCATTATTTCAACACTCGGCTCTATTCTGTAGTTTTGTACCTGCACATTATTGAAGTCTATGTCCAGAGCTGTGAAAGGCTGTGTGAGTTGAATGTATCCTCTACGCAGGCGGCTCAGTCTTTCAGTGGTGTAGGGTTCTGTGCTGTCCTCAGTATCAGCTAAACATCTAACTGGACTATAGATCTGTCCTATTGCAGACAGATCCAAGCCTCCCACTGAAGACGCACACAGCCTGCAGAAGGTCAATTAGTAATTCAATCACTAAATGTTCATTCTAATCTTTCTAAGATCATACTCAAGAGCCTGCTTCTTTAGTAACTGTGGTAAGAGAAGTGTAATATAAACTTTATCAATGTGTCACTCACGCATAAGCAGCTTAGTCTCTCACCTGTGATGTCTGCGGATCTCACGGCTCTGCACAGCGTCTCCAAACACAGTTGCACCAGCAGGTATTACCCGGGCCGTTTGTGAGGGATTGGATAAGGGTTCTCCAGTGTTCTGTTGAGATGATTTAATAATCAATTGTTGGAATAGATTGAAAATCATTTTTTCTATTAAATCCAAACTGTTTATATTAATTTATAGCTGCTATATACAACTGTATACGTCCAGCCATTAGGAAACTTAACATGCTGCTAAAAACTTATTTTCTAAAAATGACTTTAGAACTGATTCACCAACATTTGTATGTTTCTCAGACAACCACTATGTGTCCCTGTTGCCCCAGAATTTATATAACGTGAGACACTGGTACGGGTAAAAGCTTTAACAATTTAAAGTAAGGATCTGGTTCTAGTACTGCATAGTATGTAATCTTTTGCCAAGCATGCTATTAACGTTGGGCCAAGACATTAGATTAGACAGGATTCTAATCAGGATCTATTATTGTTGTTCTTTCTATCAATGAAAGAATCTGAAAAAATAAAATCTAGCACAGTTTCCACAAAAGTGTTGTTAAACACAACTGATTTCAACATTGATAATAATAAGAAATGTTTCTTGAGCAGCAAGAAGAATGATTTTTGAGATTTTGTGAAGACTGGAGTAATGGTTGCTAAAAAACTCAGCATTACTATCACTGTAATTACACTTTTTTCCAGTTTACTGTCAATATAAATCTGGTTACTATATAAACCAATATTCACCTGTTTGGAATGTCTTTAGGAATGTCCATGTCCAGAGACTTCAGATGAAGGATCTTGATGCTATCTGCCATCCCATTGGCTGAGAGCACCTCGCATGCCAGCTCATACATTGTCTTTGACAGCTCACAGGCATAGGCTTCAGCAGCGCCTGCCATCTTTGCACACATACTAACATGCCAACCAAAAAGCGTCAAACCACACTCACTGTATATCAGTTGAAACAGACGTTTGTTTAATAACAAGGTTATGTAATAAGCCTCTGAAAAATCTCACCCGAGGATGCATGCCCGTGCCAGTTCCAATATCCAGAACGGAGCTGCATCCTCCCTCAACAG